AAATAAATAATCAGTCACAACTTGTCGTATTTTGATACCAGAAAATAATAAAAAATTGTTATTCTCTTCGATTTTAATTCTAAGATTTCAAATTGTTCTTAAGAAATGACACACTTGTCTCGGTGTGAAACGTTTTAGTAGTAGAAAATGCTCTTGTGCTGATGTTTTGATGATTTACAAAATCATTATAGAAATATGTTCATCTTGTTTTCGTAGCGTATTTGAGACTTGTTGCGACAATCGCTGGAGCACAGAATATTTCGAGTTAAAGTAGAAAGTCAACGATTGTTAATACGCACGCTAGACGAGTAAGTTGAAAAATAAAAATAGATTTCGTTATCTGGTTGACTAAAGTGCTAAATATGAAAGTTGATTTGATAGCGAGGAAACAGATTGATGATTCATTTTAACCTACAGAGAAATTTCAGGTTCATAAGCATAAAAATGTTCAAGTTATGTTATCAGGCTTTTTTAAAATTTATTGAAATTTGTGCTATAGTGGTTAGTTTTATGTACATTATATTTCGATCTTAAGATAATAACAGTCTAAGTTTTTTTCCTTAGATTTGGAGAATGAACTATGCAGTTAGACAAAATATTACCATTAATTAGCAAACTGTTGAATGATTCGAACCGTCAAGTAAGTTACCTGACCCGAGTACTATCTAATGAGTTGTTATGCTCTTTTATTTAAAGATTCAACAACAAACAGATGACACACTTATTGAAATCTATCGACGTTTCGGTGAAAATGTTTGGACGTGTATTTCTAAAGACAATGTACCAGGAGCTCGGTAAAATAATTGCTTGTCATATCAAATACAATAGCAATTTTAATTCTTAAACTTGATCCACAATACGCTAAAAATCGTTTCATACCGAGTTGTTGAGGATCATTTCCTTTAACCCAAAAGTCGGTATCGTCTTTTTAAGATAAGTAGTTGCGAATAAATCCACACCCAACCAACATACCGAAATTAAGCGAAAAAGAACCATATCGCTTGACACACTACGTCTAATAGAACCTACGAAACACCCAAATTTGGTTGCCAAATTCCTACGAATACATTAAAATATATGTTGGAATGTTCCTGTTTAATCAATCCTGATGATTCATATTGATACATTTTAAGGCACGGTTTTGATTATTTTTAGACTGAAAATTTTCTATGAAAAATTTGATGTATATCACTTGAGTTACTCACTCTCATGGGTACTCAACACTCCGCAACACTCGGTGTTATCATACACACCCTTAATTTCTCACAATTATTTTCACCGTTAGCAAATTTATAGTCATTTGGATAGTTAGATAAGCTATTTTTAGGTCTCGTATTTGGTTATATACTTCGCCTGCCGTTAGAGGATTTTATTGCTGATGATTTTTAGGAGTTGTCTTTAATGAGACAATCTTTAGCCAGGATGAAGGGTGTTCCCAAGTGGTCCTGATTTTCCTCATATAAGTAAGCAGTAGATTCTATTTAGTCAGCGGGGTATAGTAACTATTTGGTGGATTATTATTTCGTCGTCACGTCTAAAACGAGACTAATAACATTGGAGATTATCGCCATCTAGGCCGTATATCCGTTAGTCTCTTTTATTCAAAATTCGTTGTATGTTTTTTTGTCTTTTTTCTAAAAGGAGACGATTCATTGTATTGCGGTTGCACATTTCACGATGTAGTCAAAACGAGGGTATGGACTTTAGTCTCCCTCTTCTTTGAGAAATAATTTAGTCGTATGAATGTGCATAAATTTGAAATAGAGAAGATGAATCGGTCTAGCAGAATAGCCAAAAGAAACAAAAAGTCGTATATTCGAAGAAAGACGATCCAGGTTATATATGTGCACATTTCACTTAGTTAAAGAAGAATTTTCTTTCTTCGAGGGCGAAAAGTTTTTGCCATGTGAATGTGTATATATAGTAAATGAAATGGATCAGTTTTATTTAGTTTGATAAAACATACAAGTATGTACATCAGAGCAGCGTCTTCTTATTTCGGTTGATTTTTATCTTTATTTTCTGCTTATTGTTTCATAAGCCACCTGACGAGACCCTTTGGCAAAGGTCGAAACCGGTAGTGGTATGCCACCTTTTTCTTCTAAATTTCGGTTTCTTTCCGCTGTGTTTCAATTTCTGAATGACTATTTACTAACGTAGGGTCCAAAAGCCATTCTATTTTAAAATAGTCATTTTTTATTTCATTTATTATATTGCCGATGGTGATTATATCACTTGAGTTACTCACTCTCATGGGTACTCAACATTCCGCAGCACTCGGTATTATCATACACACCCTTAATTTCTCCACGTTCTGCATACGTGAAAAGAGATATCTCCTTCTTTGTCGGTTATCCAAGAAGTAAAATCCTTTAACTTTTGCCCAGAGTCAGTATTCCTAAATTTTCTTTTACAAGCAAGTCGATTCTGCTTTGTCCTTTCAGCTATGCCTCTTTTGCAATCAAAACGAGTCAGTAAATCTTAAGTCAATCAAAACAGAAAAAGATTATTGCGGTTGATGTGCCATCGCCGAACAAAGATAGGAAACAAAATGACATGACCACATGTTGTTCAGTGTTACAGGGCACACCATTAGATTCGTGCAAATCTGACAATAATGTGGGCATTTTCACAGAAACAGCAGTAATCAGCTCAACTATTCCATTAGCTGCTCGTCCACCAAATGTGATCAGACACGATGTATTTAACATGACGGATTCGCATGAGTTGCCTAATTCGAATTCGAATATAATTCAAGCAACAAAAGTCTAATCCTACTTCGAAAATAAGCGGTCCGAATTCGAACTGACACTTTACTGTAAAACTTTAGAGATAAAACATTTTCTATGATCATTCAAATTCAGACCGATACTTTACTGTACAAGTTTAGAAAAAGAAAATTTTTTTATGATCATTCGAATTCGAATTGTGATGAAAACCATCTTTCTCTAACGATATCCAAGGACAATTGAAAGACCTTGAGAGACCAGTAAAGTACCAGTCCCAAATCGAATGATCATAGAAAATTTAATTTTTTTCAAACGTTTACAGTAAAATGTCAACGACTTTGACTTTTGTGCGAAAAACGGTTTCGAAAACGAAGGAGGAAGTATTGTTTGTTCCTTTGGACGATCGATGAGATTGAGGGTTGAGAGCGTGCTTCAGGGGTGTAACCGGTATCAAAAATGCGATACCGGTACCGGTCACCGGTATATAAACTTCGCACCGGTACCGGCTTGTCTTGATCGTTTTTTGCATAAATACAAACACTTTTTCCTTGTTTATAGAATATGTCTTAGATGAACTGAATTTACACGATATTTTTCGCCAAACCGTATCTTATCGCAGAATACCAGTAATGTCGACCGATTGATTATACTTCATACTAATACCGGTATACCGGTCACCGTTATAAGTCATACCGATATCGGTATATCGGTCTGCCTTATAATTCATACCGGTACCGGTTGCACCTCTGGCGCACTTAACCTTGACTTTGAGAGATTTGATCATTGCAATGATTCAGTAAATATTCTTACGTTCAACTAGCAGAACTTCCCACCATGATCAATGATCAATTATAGATAGAATAAAGTCATCTTGTTTTTCTCGATGTTTTGGGTACCTTGAAACATATTGTATATCGCATATTGTATATCGCAATATTGTTCGCCGAGAAAACGTTGATAAACGTAAATAATATTTGAATAATATTTTTTCAATATATTTTTTAAAATCCCTGCAACAATTTGAAAACTTGAAAATCAGATGGCCGACCGACATTCGTTTTTTCAGTTTTTTGAGGTTTTGGCATCAATACTTCATTCTAAAACAAAAATAAGATAATATTCAGGA